CCTTGATCTCAGGACAGATCACATCATTCCAAAATGGCAATGTCCTCTCAATGGTCAGTTTCAGTGATTCAAACATGGGGAACTCAGCCCTTGGAGGCTCAGCTTTGTAACGCTCATCTTCCACAATGAGCTTGTAATAGGGATGGTCTTCTTCCATTGGTGGAGGAGGAATGTCATAACTACGTCGCCAAATTTGCACCTGAAAAAGCATTCAACACAAATATTTTGTTTACTTGCAGGAATTCCTTAAGATGTGTCAATCCAGGACTATAGTAACATCTGTTTATATCAATCCACCAGCAGAGAACTGACAAAAATACATACCAATGAAAATGTGTCAGTTCATGGTTTTTAACACATTTCTAAATTACATCTTGTAGGAATGGGTAATAAATAGTGTAAGATGCTTCTAAAATAGTTAAGTCAAGACCTGTCATACTTTCCAAATATCTCTGAAGAAATGAAAAGAAAGTGTTTGGAATGAATAGTGAAGGTGGACTCTCTCTACAACAACTTGAAAAAGTTTTCTTGGGTTCCATGGGGTTCTCTCCCTATGTTATGTGTGTTCTCTCCAACAAAAATTCTCTGTACAATGAATTTCTACTGGCCCATTGCACTTCATGGTGCAGAGAGTCAACCTTTCCTTTCCTTTCACTGAACCAGTTTATTTTTTCCACCAAAGGGTTGTCATGAAAATAGAGAGAAACAAAAATACATATGGGTTAAGTTATGTACTTTTTTTCCTTTTGAGTCTGTTGATTCATTCAAACCTGTTTGTTTTCTCAAGTAGAGGAAAATCATTTCCAACATACTCTTTTTATTTGAAAGAAAGGCACACATTCTGAAATGGAGCTAAAAGAAATGCAAAGAAATATTTCATGTTGTGCATTTTTAACACTACATTATATCTACGGAAAGTTTTGTTTCTTAAAAGTTGGAATGTTGCACCATTTCAATTTTTTGCATTTCTCATTTATATTTCGAATAATCTCTGTGGCTAATGCACTGAATCAGGTCCCAAAATGTGTTGGAATAAGATATAAAAGAGCCTTTAAAAAGGGGTTGGTAAAGTGGGATTTCTATAATATGAAGCCTATAAGAAGAAAGTCGTCATAAATGAAAAAAAATCCTTGCATCCTACTTCATTGTATCACCTGTGCTTCTCCATGTTTGGCAGCAGTTTCTGCCTTGTTGAGTCCAGTGAGAGCTCCGTAATGTCTCTCATTGAGTCGCCATGTTTTCACAGTGGGGATATTCTCTTGGCCGATTTCT